ATTGCCTTACCCGAGTACTGCACAGATGGCTAGATCTGCTCAAGAGAGGAGAACCGGCACTCAAGAGCTGTGCAGTGGCAGGGAGACGACTGGACGAGGACCAGGTGGCCAATACATCGTCAAAGCGAACATCCGGGCGTGAAATGAACTCTGTACTTCGCCAGGTTAGTCGACCCGCAAATGTCCAGAGAAAGCATTAAATCACAACCTGTCAGTCGATCAATCCTGCACCTGTTCACTGGGAAAGAGTAGAACTGAGTGTGAAGAGCAACTGGAGCAGACTAGCGATAGACATAACTCACTACAATGGTGAGAATTTTCTAACGCTTATTAATTGCGGTCCCTCTAGGTTTGTGGTATGGCGGCTACTGCGCCAACAAGATGCAAGCACCATCATTCGACTGTTGGAGAATATTTTCCTGGAGCGAACCCACCCATGGAAATACTGACCGACAATGATACTGCATATACCAGTAAAGACTTTAAAAAATTTGCGGACAATTGGGACGTGCATCTGTGCCTACTCGCTGAGTGGAAACGGCATCGTAGAGCGAAACCACAGAACCGTCAAGACCATCACAGCCAGGAAGGGCTGTACGGTATCGGAGGCAGTTTACTGGTATAATGTCGCCCTGAAAGATAACGTTTCACCGTCCACAGCGCCAGCTGATGCACTGCACAAGTATTATATCCGAGTGAAAGGCATTGAAGCCAACCCGTTGCTTGAACTAGAAGTGACCAGAGGGAGATTGAAAAAAAGGAGATGTTGTTTGGGTCAAAAACCCACGTGTCAAGTGTACTACAAAATACGGCACTGGACGTGTTACGCAGGTGATTAACCCGCAATCTGTGAGAGTTGATGGGGTGCCTCGTCACATTAAAGACTTGCGACTGGTGATGCAACCGTTACTGAGCGATGAAAGTGATTCAGAGTCTGAGAGTAGTGAGCGTTCGATCTGCCTGAAGTTAGACCTGCAGGGCAGTGATTCCAATATCAGCAGCCTCCCAGCGGACACTGTGTTTACCGACACTCAAGCCACAGACGAGAGCACACATGAGGATGAAGCTTGTGTTGTCTCCCTTCGGAGTGGGACTCGGCAACGATGATCGCCACCTCCTTGCCCTGTTTGTGATCATGAGATCAGGGGGGAGTGTGGAGAAAATTGTGAAAATGTCCTACCTCGGAAACGCCCGCGAATCTGTGCGTCGTGCAAACTCCGATTGCTCAACAGTAAAAAGAACCAAAATGATGGCACCCATGTTTTATGCCGGGCAGTCTTGGACAGTTAACGTGAAATCTCGTCTCATCATTCACATGCAAATTATGGTTGGTCCTTGGCTGTATAAAGCAGGCGCATTTTTGTTTCTGAGGACTGAGTTTTTGCTCATGAGAAGGTTGGACGTGTGACACTATTTTGTCGGTTACCCGCCTCGCGTTTCCTATCTTCTATTATCAGTTGAGTCATTGCTTTACCACCACAGTTGTACAACCACTTAAAAGTCCTTAACTTTTAAAAGTATTAATTTTATTACTATCAAGTAAAGAAATAGAAAATTGATAATCAGTAAGCAAATTGTATCTTAATGAAAACCTTTTTCATTAAGTCATTTGAAAAGATTTATATTGTTTAGAGAAAACTAATGAGGGCAATGGAAAAATATGTAAAACTAAAGTGAAAAGAAAATCATTAAGGAAATTTATTTAAAAATGTTAGTGGGCTCCTAAATATTATATACTATTTAAAACTTTGCCGGTTTCAGATGCATTCTTGGGAAAAGATTAATGCTACATCAAAATTGAAGTATTTTATTATATATTATATTTGTAAAATATATGGTTAATCAAACTAGACAAAAAACATTAAAACATCAAAGAGAACAAAATTGAACAAGTTCATTTTAAAAATTTGCATTATAATTGCATGTATTTTGGCATATATAATGATAAAGTCAATTACCAAGTGGGCTTTTTCAGACTTACAGAGACAAGTAAATAGTATTTTGTTTTTTTACTGAGATTTGACATTTATTCAAGATATACTTGATAATTACTCAAGTTAACATTGAAGACAAATGAAATAACTGCACAATCACTTTACATTGCCTTATACAGACTTTGAAAGGGAGCATATTGTTGATCATTTTAAAGGAGGAATGAACCAGCATCAACATTGGAAACTCTACTTTCAACTGGGAACTGTGTGATTGTACAAATCACTAATGAAGAAAAAGGAACCATTGCATTTCATTCAGGTTGAATTGGAAATATCCCTGTTGCAAGGTAGCAAACATTACAGAGTGTGTTGATGAATGGTGTAGCTATTATTATATGGGTTATTGAAGTAGAGCAGTCAGAAGAAAGTTACTTTTTGAACTGGCCAACATTCAGCAGAGAAAACAGCAGGTAATTGAGATAACCTTTTGGAGTTTTGGAAAATTCTCATCTCTTGTTTGATCATTTTTCATATAGTGGCTAAGTTTGAGTTTGGCCAAGAATTTTGTTTGAACCACTTACCATCAATTATAGTAGATTTCAGTTATAACTAGCAAATTGAAGGATTGATTGTTCAGTTTCTAGAGGGCATAGAGAATATCAGAAGAGATTTTACCCAATATTTACCAATAGTTATTTAGAGGACAAAAACGCTGATATTTCAATGGGAAATGTACCTCCTTGCCATTGCATGCTTGCCTGGGTGGGTTGGTATGTGATACTTTGGACAACTTCACCTCTTCCTTCTACCAACTCATTGCCCATCTACATGTCCTGGCATGTGGCTGACAATAAGAATGGAAGATATCAGAACCATGTAACAAACAAGTCCCTCTCCTGCCAATGGCGAACCAGAACTGACTCCTGGATCCAAAGCATGACTGTTAATAAAGACCAGCATATGGAAATAATCAATATCCTGTTTGTTGTTGCTTGGTTTAAAAAAAAAAAAACCCTTCATCCACTTATTTACTTCTCCATTCCCCTTTGGTTAAAGTGGATGCCACTTAGAAGAGAAGACTTCAAAAGGAAACCATCTGCTGGTTATAAAACAGAGACGTTCCAGCTTGAGATAAAACAATATCTTTCTTTTTTATGTGGATGTCTATAGAATCACAAATATAGATGATATTCTGCTGTCCATGTCTTGGTATAAGAACAGTCTACACTCATAGATTAAAAGGTTCAGTTTGAAATTCTCTGAATGTTACTTGGATCAATAGATAGCTGTAAGGACCAGAGGGTACAATAGCTGTAACATAGTAAGAATAACAACAAAGAAGTGGACATTAGTCCAAATATGAATAATAACACCTCATGACAGAAATTCAGACAGGAAAAGATTATTAACTCACATATGTTAATTTAAAACTAAAAAATTTTTTTAGAGAAATTGTAATTAATATCCCTTTTTTTGTGCAATATTAATTTTAGGTAAACTTAATAATTTGAAATGTCTTATGGTATCTGGCTAATAAGGATATAACTTTTTTACATTTTATTTTGGAATTTTTGAGATAATGAAATATAATTTTTACATGGCTTACTATTTGGACCAGGATGCTCATTTTGAGAGCTGACATCACTTTTTTCTTTCATAGACTAAAACCAAAGTATTTATTACATGAATTTTATTTGTTATTGAAGAAATATATATGAACATATGAAGATGTTGCACATGGCTACCATTATCAAAATTAGGATTAAAAACAAAAAAAGAGACAGAAAAATAATTACATTGTCCATCCTTAGGATCTTGGAATCTTATAAGTAGGTACCACCAAAGAAATGCAACACCTAAGGTTTAAAATTTAAAAAAAAAAAATCTTTCTTGAAGCTTTTATTTTAGTTTTAATTTCAAGCTAACAGATTAAATTTAATATTTCCAACAAGCAAAATATGTTGCTGTATTTCTAAACATATTTAAATGAACTGGAAATAGTTCTTTTTTTTTCTGAAAATTGCTAAAAATCTGATTTTAGACATCTGTCAACACTGTTTCTCTTTATTAAAAATATCTTTCAAAAAAATATGCTTTTCTGAAACTTTAAGGAATATTAACTGATTTAAAGTTTAATTAATTTAATTTGAAGCAAATATTACTTTTAGTTTAAAATATTGCAGAAATACATTTTTTTATCATGAAGGTAAGTGTTTTTATGAGGTGTTGAAAGCTTTATTTACAGCCAGAAATTTAACTAATTTTTTTCTACAGTGGACATATTTGTGAAAATTACTTGAATATAATGTGAGTTATATCACATAGCCAATGCAAATTAATACAGAATTTTAAGATTTAAAACTTTAAAAATTATTCTAATTAAAATTAAAAAAAAAAAAATTAAAACAATTCTTGTAAAAATTCATTATTCGTTGAAAAAATATTTTCTTATGATAATAGTATCCATAATATATTTTATGAATAAAAGCAATTAAAAGCTTTTCTAAAAGCTGGTTAGAACTAATATAAACATTAAATGACAACAAAAAAGAATTTCTTGAATTTTCATAAAATTAAATGTTGGGGCTAACAGACATAAAAAATATTTTTATCAAGCCTTTTCTAAAAAAGAAACATCTAAAAAATAATTTCCTTTCATTTGTGAATAAGTCCTGAAAGTGTCATTAAAATCTGACAATTATTTCATTTAGGCAAGAATTACCAAATCAGTGTGTTTTTAATCACAAAAAGATGCTAAAATTTCTTATACTAATTTATGGTCATTTGTTGACACAACCAAAATTTTAAAAGTTCTAAAAAGGATAAAAAAAATCCTTTTAGATTTTGACATTTGTCTTAAGATTGGAACATTTTGTTCATCCTAGTATGCTCAGTTTTTAGTGAATCTTTGGAAGTACCTACTTATGAGTTTCATGTTTTAAATTTTTAAAAATTTCAGCCTTGCCAACAGAGAGAAAGTAGTTGTTTATGAGTATAGATTATTTTATGTCAAAGCAATTTTGTTTAATATGCTTTCAGGTCATACTCTTATTTTTATTTTTGCAGACAGTGCCTATGCCTATGATGATGCAGACACTTCCAGTGATAGTGATGATGATGAAATGCTTAAAAGGTACCAGGTTTCTCTTGCTAGTCAAGCCCAAGTTGCAGGAACTAATTTCAAGAAAGCACCCAGCAATCAAAGCATCAAGAGTAACAAGAGTACAAGGAGTTCTAAGAGTACAAAAAGCAACAAAAGCACAAAGAGTACAAAAAGCAATGCTGAGTCCTTGAAGACTAGTCAGAATGGTAGCTGTAAGTATTATTTGAGCAAAGACTATACATTTTTGTTGTACATTGGAATATTATTTTTGATTTACGCTAAAGGTTTGAATAAATAATCATAACATTATTATTAAATTATGTTTTGGTTATTATAGTTATTAAAATTCAAATATAATACAAAAAACAAAACTAAAATTTATATACAACAATCCCTTGATTAGTGTGGCTAATGTGTACATCAGTAACTATAAAAAAAATCAATTTTCAATTACTATGGTTAAGCTGAAGAATATTTTCCTGCACTAATCAAGTATTATGTATGCACTAATTGAATTTTGGTATATAGAAATTCTAGCACATTAATTGAATGCAAATTAATCAAGGGATGCCTGTATTAACTCTATAGCATATATCTATCTACTGCCTAAAGTGAATGTCAAAAAGAAAAAGAAATTAAATAAACCTTCACTCAGTAGTTTCATGAACAAGGACATTAGTAAATAGGTTTTCAACATTGAGTGACTAATGTCCCTGTTTGTGAAACTATTGAGATCATTATAAATAACATATACCATAATCCATCTATACTCCCACTTAAAATTAGGTCTAATATATTATGAAAACTACTGCTAACCTGCACTACCAAAGTCCCATTCTGTAATCATAACAACATATATATACAATGCAATGACATCTCCATGGGTTCATCTCTTGGTTCAACCTTTAGCAACTTCTATATGTCTAATCTCGAAAATAACATTTTTAGTAATTTTAAAAAAGACCTTCCATATACCTTAGATATGTAGACATTTCCTTTTATTAGTCAAAAATAAGGAAGAAATATGTAAACTCCAAAAACAGCTCCAAAACAACCCTGTCCTTAAATTTACATATGAACTTAATACTAGTAACAAAATTTCCTTTCTCAATATACTAATTAACACCATTAATAATATGTTTCCTATCTCCCCATATAAAAACCTACCAGCATAAATTCCTATACTCTTAATGATAAAAGTTAATGTCCAAATTACTATAAAATAGCTATTATAAAAAAACCTAATAAACTGTGCAAAAACTAATTTCTCCACAAAACAGATCTATGGTTAACTTAAATATATAACACAAACACTCATCAATAATAACTTCCTCAACTACATAATTGATGAGCAATAAAATGCTCTATACAAAACATATAGAACATAACCAACTAACCCCAAACATATCAAGCTTTTATATCGTAACCAGATGCATGCTAATTATAAACAAGATGAAAATAACCTAAAAAAATTAATAAAAACTAAATCATCCACCCAAGTAATAAAATAAAACTTATTATATACTACACTAAATCCACTATATCTAATAAAATCATTCATAATGATTCTTCCCTGGCCACTTGCATGTTACATAAAACCAACATTGTTTATATATCTAAATGTCCTCTGGAAGATTGCATCTCCAACAATAAAAATAATATCTGTGTTGAACACATGACAACAACGCTTTCACATAGGTTAAGTCTTCACCTGAATAACATGTCCAATATTTCTAAACATTTACAACAACATACCTGTCCACACTTGCAATTCAGAAAAATCCTCATTGAAAATACCTCCATACTTTTCCATGAAAAGAATAAACACAAACTAAAAATTCTTGAAGCTATTTATATCAAAAAATTGAAGCCAAACCTCAATAAAATTAATTACAAATACTCCACAAATATTTTAAAATATGTACAATAGATAGTCTTTAAATAATAGTGCTTGTCATTAATAGTTTTTTCCTTTATCTTTTATGTCTTTTAATAACTACATGAAAAAGCTTATCCGTAAATATGAATGGATCCTATCGAGAATAAGTAGACAGAACATGTCTAAGTTATTTAATGAAACCTGTCTTAATGAAAATATGTTGCCGAAATATATGCATATATATATATATATATATATATATATATATATATATATATATAGTCATGTCCATAAAGAAATGCACAAATAAAAAATGAATTATACTGTTATGGTGTTGTCTCCATAAAAAATAAATAGAAATTAATTATAGTGTCAAAAATAATTATTATAATTATCATTAATTTACTCATTCTAAATCAATGAGAATCGACTCCACTTTTCTTCTCTACACATATATAACAACATGTTACATTATCATTATCAAACAAGCAGTTCCCATGGACAGGTTGTCCAAATGTGTGTCAATGAAAATTTCATCTCCTTTTCCTTTTCAGGTCATAATAGTAATATTTATCTTTTAACACTCAACAAAAGTTTGAGGTAAGAAAACCCCAGACACTTTTTATATTTTTCCAAGTAAATTATCTAGACACTCATTACACAGATCTATAAAAAAAAAACATACAAGAAAGACTGCTTATTCTTTATCTTATCCTTCTGTTGGATTCTGATCCATATTTGATATAACATGTGACCCTAAACTCTCAATTTTACTCTCTCTTGTTTTTCCAACATCACAATACAACCAGATAATAAATAATACTCATTTTGTTATTTCTATGTCTTGCTGTTTCTCATTTGTAGAAGGGAAACAGCTTACCTCCTGAAACAAAACGTGCCTGTATGTATCTCAAATGCAAAATACATAAAATAAAATATGGCCAATCCAAAAGCTGCAACTTGGAGTTCAGAGATTTTGCAAGATGAATTCGTGGCTTATGCAAATTTCCAAGGCTCAGCCACTTGATAAAACAAGCAAAAACAAGAGAATATCTGAGGGGCTGTAGTCGCTGACCAATTGAGTGGTTCTGCTTTATGTGGGGAGTTTTGTGGTAGTTTCATCAATTGTGATTGAAAAGACAGGTTACAACTGGTACTCCCAACAGCCATACCTTTTTGTTTTTGTTTTTTTCTACAAGCTATTTTGGCCTCCCAATAGGCATAATGTTGGAGAGGGGAAATTCAATATCAAATTCATCCCTGAGTTTGATATTTCAGCATCTAGACCATCCGTGGTTGAATGGGTCTAAAAGGCAGAACTTGTATGCAAGATGTGTGGAGTAAAAATCTTAAATACATAATTCCCTTCAGCTTGGTTGGATCATTTGCTGTCTACCAGCAGCTGGGAGAAAAGGAAAGAAATGGATATTAACTGAATAAAATCCACATTGTATACAGCTTTTGTGATGGAACAGTTCATAGCATATAAGCAATTCACTGAGCAACAGTTTCATTGTGGGGATTTGGTTGATGTATACTTGGTGGAGTTGCAAAAACTCATGATATTATTTGGCAGAGTGAATGACCGTGGACTGGCATGTGCATTCATAAGGGAATTGACAGAGTAGGTGAAGTGGCTTCTTTGTGCTTCGACTCAGATGGATGTACTAGCAATTGATCAACCGTTGGCTTGAGAGCTGGCAATTATGAAGGACAAGGTGATGGAGGATGGTCCAGCAGTTGTGCCAGCATGAATAATACAGAATGGGATGAAGAAGCTTCCTACTGTCATCCACATGATATCATAATGTTGTCATTGCAACAGTGCTAGTCATTTTGCAAAGGACTGCACAGGACCATATATGTTGAAAGACTGAAACCCCAAATATATTGCTACAAATGTGACAAGATAGGATATATCTCCTGAAATTTCTGGGAAACAAGACAGAGGAAGAATCTTCAGTGCCAGTTTGCTTCCCGAACCCTATCTGAATGAGGTACTATCTGCAATTACTTTATGCATCATTGGAATCAAAACTGTAGCCTTGGTGAACATGAGTTGCTCACAGTTGCTCATTAGCAGAATGCTTTGTCGCTCCTAGAAGAGGAAGAAAATGGATATGTTCACTGTTGGCAATGAGACCCTTAGGTACTGTGGGGTTGGATTTGTCCAACTTGGTTTGAGCAACATTCACCATTTTGATATTGAGGTTCTGGTTGTAGACAATATACAGCATATTGTTTGGAGGTTGACATCATCAAGAGGCTGGGTGGAGTGTGCATGATCAGCAGTAACACTGTGTTTTTCTCAACTTGATTGAGTTTTGTACACAGCTATTACCATCAACGAGCCCAATTTTCATGCAGAATATGATCTAAACAGGAAGATCTGGGTTGTATTGTGGAAGTGGTCTGGTAACCAAACACCACTCATGGTGAAGAACCAGATACCAGAGTATCACACACCGAAGCAAATCAGAGAGGAGTACACTCATGAACTTCAAACCTGAATAGATAACAGTTAGCTACTTCCCTACCCAGAAGATGTGCTCAAACTTCCCAAGGGCCAAATCCCACTAATGGCTGTGCTGCAAGAAAACAAGTTGGAGGTTTTCTCTGTTATAGTCAATATGTTGATGTATACACAGCTAATGCAAACTTTTGCATGCAAAAATTGAGGGAATAGCAACAGGACGGGTCAGACATTACTATTCTGGATCTGTGTCTGTAAATTCATGTGACAAAGCTTTGTGGCCCTTTCAAACAGTAAAAATCAAAGGTATAGCCTTACCTGCTTGGGGTTTGGGCCCAATGTGGCACCACTGATCATGCAGTCAATCATAAACATCATGGTTGCACAAGACAAAACCATCCAAAGAGCCACATCCTCATACATTGATGAGATATTCATCAATGAGTGTGTGTGCTCTATAGCCCATGTAAGAGCACACCTGGAATGATTCAGGCTGACTAGCAAGAGTTGCCATTCTGCGAGAGAGGACCACCTGCTGTTGACAATAGTGCAGTGTTCTGTGGAGAAATTGCAGGTTTACAGAGGAGTGAGGCATCTGACAGATTCCATTGTGTCTATGTTCTGTCAGTATCATCAAGCAAATTGCCTCTTGAACACAATGTTCCATCATGGAGGTGTTATGTTGGTATAACATGATGCCAAAAGATGACACAACAGCTATGACTGCACCAGCTAACTCTATATACAACTACCAGACCTGCATAAGGGGTGTTGATGTTACACCATCACTTGAACATATAGATCCTGGAATCTACAGAGTAGGAGATGTGGTCTGGATAAAGTCCACACATAGTGAATGC